GGGCACTAGCATACTTCAGTAGTAGATACTCTAATTTACAACTTGTAGTACTTTGTGTATTAAAACATTAAACAACATCAGATTTGAGAAAACAAAGATCAAGTGCACTTTATAAAATATGCATGTAGACTACTCAAACTGTTATATCGTTTCTATAGTTGTGTCAAAATCTGTTTCCCCATTGATTTCAATCCTACAATCACCTGAAACTAAACAAATTCCCACATAAAGAGCTGCTGTAAATATTAAAGGAGAAAGAGAGTTCAACACAAAAACCAGCATCAAAAAATATGTCCAACCTTACCCAGCCCGGCTACGCTACAAGCAACATCTGGAGTAGTTTGATCACGTTGATCAAATGCCACACACAACTGCAGGACCATAAACTCTATATAGAAAGATAGATGCAGTCACTGGGCCATGGTGACTGCCTGTAAGTGCAAACCATTGATGCCAATACAAATGCAAACTGTATATAAAAGATGGACGTAGCCACTGGGACTGCAAAATGAAGCCAATGGCACATGTCTCCTAAACATATATTATTTCTAATGGCCAGCAGGAGTTGACTGCTCATCCAGTCGTATAAGAGTCTGAGAAAACACTTTCCTGGTGATGCTGTGGGCTCGTTTCAGGTCCAATCGAATAAAAAAAGTTCATGAATCATTAGCCGATGAGCATATAGCTCCTAAGTGCACCAATCAAATCCAGCCCCTTGGTAAAAAAAGAAAAAAGAAAAATGCTCAACTTGAGCTTTACAAAGCCAGAGGTGACGACACATCTTTTATATACAGGATATGGCTACAAACCATCCCGTCTACAGACTCCCTTTCATAAAACATCAACTATTATTTGGTTGTCATGTATCGCTGTGTACAGAACAGTTTCCAACGCCAGCAATGATGTTTGAACCTTCTCTGTATCCGTTCTTTTTTAGTTTGCTTCGTTAATCAAGCAGTTAGATATTTCCAGCTAGTAGCTAAGCATCCAGCCTTTTTTTAAACCCACAAACAGCCACTTGCAGCTTCAAAGAGGCGACAACCTGATGACAAACTCAGGTTGTCAGTCTACCATCGTCCATCTTTTATAAGGTCTATGTTGAACACAGGAAACACTGTCCAGTTAAAGAACTGCACACAAAAAACATGCCAGGAGTGTGATCTATACAATGTCCAAAGTCTAAAAAGGAATGTTAAAATGTACAAAATATAAAAAAACTATAAAAACTGGTTCACACGACACTGCACTCTAACAGTTTGAAGGTTTGTCTTTTAAACAGAGGGACTTTTCACTTTCCTATTGACTTTCCAGTGACTTGTACACTAGAGACACATCCACACAAATATGAATAAAATCAAGAAACAAAAATGGGGAGAGGTTTAAGTACCTTTAAAAAAACACTTTCTGCTTCCAATCTCTCACATGGGTATAGAATTAACAAACAAGAGTGTGTGTGTGTGTGTGTGTGTGTGTGTGTGTTTACAGCAGTCCCGTGGGTGTGTGCGTTGCTGCAGTACTGGTAGATGGACCTGCCTGAAAGGTATACATGAGTGTTTTTGCTGGGGTGACTAATGTTGGATTGCTGGGGCTGATAACCATGTATCAGCTGATGTTCCTACAGTACGGTGTAGCTGGATCGCCGAGGGGGAAAAAAATTGGGTCATTGTTTTTTTTAACCTTCCAGCAAAGCATTTGTCACACTAGTGAGCAACTAAGTGTGAATCTGCAGCAGCTCGGCTGTGCCGCTGCTCTGCTTAAAAAAATCGTATTACAAATCACACAACATTTACATCAATGCAGACAAACGTGTAACAGGCGAAGGTCAACTACGCAGTAATTAGGCAGCTTCTACCAATGAAAACAGGAGCAGTTGATGAAAGACGGCAGGCTGAGGTAGAGCGTGGCAGCGACTTTAAAATGTTGCTTTGAGCAGTGACTACAAGTTCTCAAATGTGAAAAACATAACCTTAAAATTCAGGTCTCTCTTTTCAAAATACTCTTCATTCTTAGATCCAAAATAGACGAACCAGTTACTTCACCACTTTGTACTAGAAACATAAAACGTGGCGATACACGATGCAGTTTAACAGCCACGAGAATATGGACAACACATGCACGCACACTCACACATCTATATATAAAGCACCAGACACACACCAAGAAATGACCATACAGCAGCAAAGTACACAAGGCATAAGAGGTACCGCTTCATAAAACGGACTCCACAGTGATGGAAGATTCCTGCTTTCAGTCTGCAGACCCGGCTGTCCAGCTTTGCTGTACCTTTTGACTCCAGCACATCTACTGCAGAGAGAAAACACACTGCTACCATCTCTTTTTCATGAAGTGAGCAGAGTGACAGCGGGTCAGACTGACCTTTTTTTTTTTTTTTTAAAGCATCCACTGAGCTTTTCGATGTCCTGCACTACAGGAAGCTCACAGTGTCTGTGAAGCACTGTCAGCAGTCACCAAAACACAAAGGCTGCTGAGATGTGAGCTCTAATTTAAACAAAAAACATCCTCGTCAAGAGTCCATCTTCCCCTCTGTCCGTTAAAGTTAACTGCCAGCGTGCCCGAGC